GGTGGCTGGTGTGACTTTGGTTTGTACAGTCTGTTGTACTCGTCTTCTGAAAATAGGTCCTCATTGTCCCGGATTAGAGATCGTATTTTTCGCGTTACTCTGGCCGTGGGGTTGTATGTTACCGGTTTATAAACCTTATTATCACTCAACAGTTCAAGTATTTTGCTTTTGTAATCAGTTGTATTCATCACTACGGTAGCGTTTCCCTTGTCGGCCTTAAGCACTAAGATATCCTGGTTATCCCTAATGTTTTTTAGTGCTTGACGCTCTTCGATAGTGATATTACTAGCCGGAAGCTTTGACCGACGTAATATTACCGCAACGTCCTGTCTTAGGATATCGGCATCGCCGGGCGGTACTTTGTTCCGTGTAATCGATTCCTCGACGCTACTGATTACATTCTCGAACGGTATTCGTTTAGGTGTCGGAGCGAAGTTCATACCTTTAGCCAAGATGTTCATTGTTGTGTCATCTAAACTCACGTTTGACAAGTTTACAACGGTGTCCTTCGATCTCTCGGGTACCCCGGGTGACGCTTTATTTTCTGTATACCGTCGATTATATTCCTTCAAGAACTTTCGATCAAAATTTTTACTACATAACTCGAAGGTACGACTCGCTTGTAAAAACGTAACCCGGTCACACAAATCATAGTCCGATTGAGATAGATTAACACTGCACTTTAATTGTAACGCATATGACTCCCTCTGTATATACTCCAAATCACTGTGTTTGTTTCGAATTAATTGTCTCAGGAGGCGTGCACTCGCGTTTTTTAGAATTTCACGTGAAAATGCGATATCACTACGCGGTTTTATTCGAACACACGAAGGTAATAAGTCCCAATCGCGACACTTCACAAGAAATATCAACGATGTTTCCATTCGCGCTCGTTTTTTACGTAAATATTCTAGGTGACGCACTTGTTTTGCAATTTCCGACCCGTAGCGGTTTGCTATACTAACTTTTAAACTTTCGCGTTCCATGATAATTAATATTATTTAACGGGAATTAACGCGATCTCTTATTTAGGGTATTACATACCTCTGGTTTGCCTGACGTTTCGACCAGGTTGCACCGGCCGTGGTCACAGGCTGACTGGCTCATCGGCGCACGCCCTCCGTCGTCGAATCCGTGAAGTAGAAGGCTCTTCATCTACCCGCACATTTTCGATATTATTTTTGTGTCGCCATGTACCGTCACATACCACACTAACAGTGTCCCTATTCTGTAAGCAAACCGATGAGTCCCTATTCTGGTGTTTAACCGATTGCGCAGAAAAGCGAGGTGGTATGTTTTTTAACACTGGATTCCACGCTGTAGATAATTTAAAACCATCTTCCCGATTGAAAGTTTTATGCTTTTTAATCTCAATCGCTTCACGTACAACTCTTGAGTAAAAGTGACGTTCGGTGGAGAGGACTTGCGTGCGGTGAAATTCAATCCAGTGGTTGATGCCTGCATCGAGTGCATGTTCTGCAATCGCTGATTTGCTCGTCTGTCGGTTCTTCACAGCAGCGATATGCTCTTTGACCCTTTCTGCAATAGTCCGCTTAGTTTGGCCTATGTATGAGCTTCCGCAGCTGCAGTCTATTTTATAAACACCCGGAGTTTGTAGTGGCAATGTATCCTTCGGTGTGCCGACGATGTTGTGAACCTTTATGCCTGGTGTGTATACTGTCGGAATGGAATATTTCTTTAGTACAGACCCGATCTTGTCCGTAACTCCCTTGACATAAGGCATATAGGCCGGTTGCCTGTTCACTTCTGGATACTTGCGTCTTATTTTCGGTTGCTTCCGTCCTCCTTTCACTTGATATCCGTTACCTTTGAGTACCTCCTGAACATGTTTTAGCTCCGTAGTGATGAATACAACTGATTACAAAAGCAAAATACTTGAACTGTTGAGTGATAATAAGGTTTATAAACCGGTAACATACAACCCCACGGCCAGAGTAACGCGAAAAATACGATCTCTAATCCGGGACAATGAGGACCTATTTTCAGAAGACGAGTACAACAGACTGTACAAACCAAAGTCACACCAGCCACCGAAATTATATGGTCTGCCTAAGATACACAAGCCTGACGTACCGCTGCGGCCGATTGTAAGTCAAATTGCTTCTCCTACTTACGATCTAGCAAAGCACGTTGCTTCAGTATTGCAACCACTTATAGGCAAAACACCGTCTTTTGTGAAAGACTCACGGCACTTCATACAAATCATAAAAGATCTGACGTTGGAACCGGATGACGTCATGGTGAGCTTTGACGTGGAGTCGCTTTTCACCAATGTTCCAATAAAGGAGTGCCTAAACGTCGTAAAAGACCTACTGAGAGACAACGAGCTGCCCTTAAACTATATGGATCTACTTGAACACTGTTTAGAAGGCAACTATTTCCTTTTCCAAGGTCAACATTACCTCCAGATTGATGGTGTCGCGATGGGAAGTCCTGTAGCCCCAGTACTGGCCAACATCTGGATGGAACATTTTGAAGAGAAGGCTTTAAATCTCGGCCCGAATACCGTTAAGCTATGGAAGCGATACGTGGATGACATTTTCAGTATCGTCAAAGGAAACAAACAAGAAGTGGATCAATATATACAACATCTGAACTCTATTCACCCCAAAATGAGGTTTACATATGAAATGGAGACGGACAGGTCGTTGTCCTTCTTAGATGTTAAAGTAGCCGTGAGATCGGATGGGTCCTTGTCACACTGTGTGTACCGTAAACCTACTCATACGGACAGATACCTACACGCCACGTCTCATCATCACCCCCGGCACTTGCAATCTGTTATGACTTCACTCAAAAACAGAGCTTACGATCTCTGTGACCCTGAACATTTAGAACAGGAGCTAAAACATGTTCAGGAGGTACTCAAAGGTAACGGATATCAAGTGAAAGGAGGACGGAAGCAACCGAAAATAAGACGCAAGTATCCAGAAGTGAACAGGCAACCGGCCTATATGCCTTATGTCAAGGGAGTTACGGACAAGATCGGGTCTGTACTAAAGAAATATTCCATTCCGACAGTATACACACCAGGCATAAAGGTTCACAACATCGTCGGCACACCGAAGGATACATTGCCACTACAAACTCCGGGTGTTTATAAAATAGACTGCAGCTGCGGAAGCTCATACATAGGCCAAACTAAGCGGACTATTGCAGAAAGGGTCAAAGAGCATATCGCTGCTGTGAAGAACCGACAGACGAGCAAATCAGCGATTGCAGAACATGCACTCGATGCAGGCATCAACCACTGGATTGAATTTCACCGCACGCAAGTCCTCTCCACCGAACGTCACTTTTACTCAAGAGTTGTACGTGAAGCGATTGAGATTAAAAAGCATAAAACTTTCAATCGGGAAGATGGTTTTAAATTATCTACAGCGTGGAATCCAGTGTTAAAAAACATACCACCTCGCTTTTCTGCGCAATCGGTTAAACACCAGAATAGGGACTCATCGGTTTGCTTACAGAATAGGGACACTGTTAGTGTGGTATGTGACGGTACATGGCGACACAAAAATAATATCGAAAATGTGCGGGTAGATGAAGAGCCTTCTACTTCACGGATTCGACGACGGAGGGCGTGCGCCGATGAGCCAGTCAGCCTGTGACCACGGCCGGTGCAACCTGGTCGAAACGTCAGGCAAACCAGAGGTATGTAATACCCTAAATAAGAGATCGCGTTAATTCCCGTTAAATAATATTAATTATCATGGAACGCGAAAGTTTAAAACGTTGTGTTTTATTTATTTACTAGCTGACCCGGCAAACGTTGTTTTCCCATATACATTATTTCAAAAAAAATTGTCAAAAAAATAATAATTGGTGTATGAAAAATAGATGTTGGCCGATTCTTAGACCTACCCGATATGCATACAAAATTTCACGAAAATCGGTAGAGCCGTTTCGGAGGAGTTCAACCACGCACACCGTGACACGAGAATGTTATATATTAGAGGTATATAGAGAGATAATAAGTAAATTATTATTTGCGCAAAGATTTCTGTTGCAAATGAAGACAAGAGCAGTTCCCCCTGGGATGCCCCGCCGGGCTTTTTCGAGAGTCAAGGCCTCCTGGGCTTGGTCTGGTTAGTAGGATTTCAAGTAGGTAATTAGACTGACAAACCTCTAAGATTAAACCTTGGATTCGTCTCTGATTGGAGACTCTTGACTTCACAATTGCCACAAATTTACAGAAGACTGTCTTGGTTTGGGTAATAATATAGTAAGGGTTGTCCGTGTGGTGACGGATTAAGAATACAGCGTGTCACCAATCCTATTTATCCCGTGGGTGTCGTAAGAGGCGACTAAGGAAGCAAACTACGCAGGACAACAGCACTGCAGAGAGAAGGAAATCTTGACACAAACCCTATACCACCCGTCTGGCCAGCGTGGTATAGTAGGTCAAAACCTCCTTTCTAAGGAGAGGTCTATGTCCAGCAGTGGACTATTAAAGTCTGTTGATGTGTGATGAAGGGTTGAAAGAGGCATACTGAGATATCGTAACACGCAAATGACACAAAGACTCTTGCGACTGTTCCTCGATACGAGTCGAAACTTAGTTTTACACATAAATTGTGTGCAATTTGGCTAAAACCGTAACTTTATTACAAGACTAAAGAATAATTGAACATAAATAATCTAGTAAGATCTATTATTTCAACATCGTACATTCAGTAGTGCCTTCTAAAAATATCACGACCAATAAAAATATACCAAATATAATAAATATCTATTTTAGGAATTTTTATTTACCAAAATGGTCAAGTCTCTTCTATATATTATTATACTCGTAACAACGGTTGAAAAAATAAAAACAAAACACATAAGAATCAAAATCAGCACCAACGTCAAAACCCTCAAATAGAACAGTTTTAAACCAACTTTGTTGGATTAACGAACCCGAATGCTGTAAACACATAAAACCAACAAAATAACCTTGAACTTTAAACCAGAAAAACATTAACCTAAAGACATACCTGCACTCCACTCTCTTCAGTATCAGCCATCACACAAAGCTCTAAAGTGTTTTTATTGGAATATTTATTTGCAGTCGCGTCCAGTTTACGGGAGAGGCGGGAATGCAATGAAGGACCGACTGTGGTGGAGAGAAGCCGTATATATAAACATAAACGCATACAGGGACGAAAAACCGCTCGGTTAGAAACTAGAGATTGAGTTTCTATAGTACAAGTAATATTGAAATTAATAATCAAAATCATTAGTAAAGTTTCATGACGTGACTAAAAACACTTCATAGAAATCTCAAAAAAAATTGACTGACGAAGATTGTGTTAGCATGCCTGTTATTTTTTTTTATGGCATAGGGGGCAAACGAGCAGTCAGGTTACCTAAAGGTAAGTGATTTATGTACACTTTGAGTTCACTCCCGCCCTCCATGGGGAGGGCATTTCACCATTTCACCGAGTGAGTGCGTTTACGGACCTAAGCCCCCCCACCCTTTCCCCTAATTCTAATGGTAGAATTAGGGGAAAGGGGGGGTCTGAGGTCAGTAAACGCACTCACTCGTTGAAATGCAATAAAATAATTACTTGACACAGAGACCCGAAAGTCTCACAGAAAACCTTTGAATATCTAAGACGACCGAATGGCATAGTGGTTTGTATAACGGACTGCTATTTCAAAGGTCGCGGGTTCGATTCCCGTACAAGTCAAACATTTGTGTGCATGAACATTTAATGTTTGATTTGGTCTGGGTGTTCCTATGTATAATAAGTATGTATTTACAAAAAAAAGTATATATGCATTTATATCAGTTGTCTAGTTGCCATAGTACAAGCTTTGCTTAGTTTGGGACTAGATGGCGTTGTGTGAATGTGGTAGAATATTATTATTATCTCTCCGGTCTCTCACGGTTAAAGTATACCGTATAAACAGTAACAAAACTAATAGCCAGCCATCCTATTGTAACAAAAACCTCATACATTACTTCAACTTATTGTAAAAAAAAATATGTGAAAGAGGGCAGACGAGCAGACGGGTAACCTGATGGAAAGTGACTACCGCCGCCAAAAAAATAACATACATATCCTGTCCCCTGTATTGCAACTGTAAACGTGAGTTCCTAAGTTGTAAGAATAAAAAAAAATTGAATAAAACTTATAAACCTAAAAAAAAACAAACAATCATTCAAAGAAGTGCAGTCAAGTAAGTAATAAAAAACAATTGTTTAACATAATATTTTTACGAAAATTGTTCGTACTTTTGGTAGCAATGTTAGTGGAACTAAATCATCGCATTCACTAATCACTACCAGTGAACATTGTCATGAAATAAAACATACATAATACATACAATCTACATAATAAGTTAGTTAACCACCGTCTTGCCAGCGTGGTATAGTAGACCAAAACCATCTAAGGAGAGGCCTATGTCCAGCAGTGGACTACTAAAGGCTGGTGATGATTATGATGATGTTACTTATTAGCTTATTAAAACTTTGCTTAGTTGGTAGAAGGCGAGAAGACTGCATACCCAAATAAACGGTCCTTGATACGTGATAGGATAGTGAGTAATACCAAATTCAATTTAAACTTAGTGTTACATATATTATTTGAAATGTCTAAAATCCAAGTACAATATTTACTCATCACTAGAAATACTTAGTGCACGGCAAAACATACACCTGTAAAGGAATTTGTTCAATATTTCGTTGTTCAAATATACTATAATATTTTTATATTATAATATTTTCACACCCCTCACACACGGACGCCTGATCCCAAACTAGACAGAGCCTGTACTATGGTAACCAGACTGCTAATAAACATACTTATATATTTCTAAATACATACATATTATAGATAAAGTACACCCAAACACAGAACAAATTACCGTGTTCATCACACGATTATTTATCCTGGGTGGGAATCGAACCCACGACCCCTCGCGTAGCAGTCAGGGTCACTAACCACTAGACCAACAGGCCAGTCAATTATACAAGTAATACTGAGAAAAATCTACTCTTAGATACAAAAATAGTACTTACGATTAAAACAGTTTAATTAGATTTACATTCAACCGGTAACCATTGAGTTCCGGCAACAGTTTAAATCGAATCAGTATTTGGCAAGCTTTTTTTTAAATTATCAGCACTTATCATCAGAAAATAATTCCTTAGGGTACTTAATCCCTATCAGAAAGATTTAAATTAGTTTTAAAGTAGGATCTCTTGAAGGAAGTATTCATATGTAGGAATACCAAGTGGTCCCAAGTGTTTCGGAACTTAGTACCAACGCAACAAGTTGCTTCACGTTTTTACAAACAACCACTGTTGGACTTGAAACTTGTCGAGCGTCTAATAAATTTATTTCCTTATCATCATCATCATCATCATCAACAGCCTTTAACAGTCCACTGCTGGACATAGGCCTCTCCTTAGAAAGGAGGTTTTGGGCTACTATACCACGCTGGCCAGACGGGTTGGTAAAGGGTTTGTGTCAAGTTTTCCTTCTCTCAGCAGTGCTGTTGTCCTGCGTAGTTCGCTCCCTTAGTCGACGACACCCACGTTATGAATAGGGGTGGTAACATTCTGTATTCTTAATCCGTCACCACACGGACGGATATACGGATAAATTTATTTATTAGCACTAATTTTGTACCAAACATAACTGTAACGAAATCGATCCATTTTCAACACGTAAGTTGTCACTTTTTACCTTTTTAAAGTCACTGTACACGCTGCATCTTACATGTTGTTTAGTAAAATCTGTCAGTAGTGCGCGGATTATTCCCTGTACTTACGTACATGATGACATGTGTGCGGGCTATCATGGGCTACCTATCATAACCAAATATATATAGATCTATGTAAACTAAAGTTTTAATTATTTCTATTTTCTTATAAACAAAGCGCACTCCTAGAAGTTATAAGGAACATTAGATAAACACAATATATTATAAAGAGGAATGATAGAAACGTCCGTGTGGTGACGGATTAAGAATACAGTGTCACCACCCCTATACATCCCGGGATGAATAGTTGTGTGATAAGCACGAACATTTGTTCTGTGCCTGGGTGTAAATTTATCTATAATATATATAGTAGGTAGGTCCGTGTGGTGATTCTTCAGGTTCTTGATTAAGGGTCTGTGTGTTGGCGTATTAAGAACTAGCTGAGACCCGCTGTGTTACCCGCGTTTGTTGTTATAACCGCGGGCAACGCCGCGGGGCGAAGCTAGTCTAAAAAAAGTAGCCTAAGTTACTCCTTATGTCATCAGCTATCTGCCAGTGAAAGTCCAGTCAAAATTGGTCCAGCCGTTCCAGAGATTACCCGGAGCAAACAGACAGACAGACAGACAATAATGGTAAAAAATGTTTTTTGCCATATGTACCGTGTAAACATACATATGAATTTAGTAAAAAGCGGTTATTTTAATATTACAAACAGACACTCCAATTTTATTTATTTGTATAGATACAGAGTGTCATTAAGAATACAGAGTGTCACCACCCCTATCCATCCCGTGGGTGTCATAAGAGACGACTAAGGGAGAAAACTACGCAGAACAACAGCAGTGCAGAGAGAAGGAAAACTTGACACAAACCCTATACCAACCCGTCTGGCCAGCGTGGTATAGTAGGCCAAAACCTCCTTTCTAAGGAGAGGCCTACGTCCAGCAGTGGACTATTGAAGGCTGTTGATGTGATGATGATAGAAAACAAGCTGGAGAGGTCAGTAATCTTTTTAGAGAGTAACACAGTCCTAATTAACGAAGTCATCAGAAATTGAAGACACGGGACTGGTGAGAGCCGACACAAAATCGAGATCTCCTGAGAGAGTAATAGTAGTAAAGCTATAGATAGCAGTGGTGATTTTTTTTAAATACAACTCCTGCACAAGGAGAATGAACCTGTGTCGCTGGGGACCTTACAAACATACATGAAACGGACATATAGAGCACCCAGACTCAGGATAAGAATTTGTGGATCACACAAAGTGATGTCCCAACCCACAACGCTAAGGGAGATAACCCTTCACTCTTAAGTTCATCAACATCAACGTTTTGCCGTCCACCTACAAAATAACACTTACTAGCTTTATTCAGACTACGCTAATTCTAATATAAATTCCTTCGTTTCTCAGCTTTTAAATAATATAGCATCTTAGCTTAAAATGAGGTCGTTACACTTGAAAACACTTGTCTGATTCTAGACGTTCCAATCTGTGGAACTAGTTATTGTCTCCGATATTTCCGATATGACCTTCAAGAAAAGAGCGTACTTCTTCCTAAAAGGCTGGCCACGCGTTTGGGACTCCTTAGTTGCAGGCATTCATGGGCAGCGATAGTCACTTTCCATCTGTTGATCCCTCTGCTCATCTAGCCCCTCTTAAATAAAAAAAAAGGTGCCCGTTTGATGGCGTATGGTGTTACGTACCATAACTATTTATAATACCGTTTCATGTATGTATGCGTGAGTGTATGGGTGTGTGCTATATTTTTGCTCGGATGGGAATCTATAGTTTTGCTAATAAAAAATCACAAATATCTGCTTTACGTACAGACTGATTTATACTTAAACCATCTCCAAATGATATTACCAACATCGCAGTTTGAGCAGTTTTTTACTAACTTGGGACTATTCTCGCAGTTTCTAGTTACTTCCTTGAGCAATGCAATTACTGTTAAATCAATTTGTCTGCAAATAACACAGGCAAATAATTACTGTACTGTACTGCCTGATTTTTTTTATTACATAGAAAATTATCCAAATCACGAAAAAAAACTTAGTCCGTTGGAGCAAGGTCCGGCGAGGACGGAGAATATGGTTTCTAGGTGCAGTTCCTGTAGAATTACAATCGTTTTCGAGCACTGTGAGGTCTTGCGTTATCATGGAGCAATAATGGTGATGATCAATTCACGTGTCGGGGCTTTTATACTGCCAGTTTCACCATCATTATTCGAAGTTCGGCCCAGCAAACATCTGCTGTAATTGCCTAAACAGACCTGAGAAAGCTATAGAAGAGAGAAACCCTGAAAAGACCAAA